TATATATATATATATATATATATATATATATATATATATATATATATATACATATATATATATATACATATAAGTAGACGTATATACATGACGCAAGTTAATGATCAACATATTGAAAAATATAAGTAATCCGAACTTATCATAAGAAATAAAACATAAGAAATACCAATATATTGACATGAATAGCAAACGTTTACCGACTCTGGTTCGTCCTCCTCGTCCTCAGATTCGTCATACGATTCTTCTCCGGTGGGTTGTCCTTCGTCTATCTCATTCATTTCCGAACCACCGCTAGAACTACCTACAATAGGCCTTACATCCATACCCATACCTACACCCGCACCCACGCTAGCTGTACGACCCACACAACCGTTCGACAGCAAATTTGGGTCACTGACAGGACCCGCTGAGTCGGGCTGAGACACGTCTGCGCGTGGACCTGTGTACCCGAGGTTGCCATGGTTACCGTTCGCCTGACTAAGCTCCTCTGTATTTCCCACAGCCGGCGTCTGTGCACCTATATCCATACGCTTGTCAGCCACACTGTCGCCTGTGGCTCCCTGGAGAGTACCACCCCCACCATAGCCGGAATCTGCACTACCTTGACCACCGAGCCCTGTATACGGCACGCTCTCCTTACCTACCGTTCTATTTATAACTTTCTCGGCCACACTCGCGGCCGCAGGTGCCGTACGGTATCTCTCCCGTATGCCCTCCTCAGGCACCGTTCTATTTATATCCGCACCAGTCCCCAATACCTCTGCCCTGTCCCCGCCCACATTCTCGGGTGTAACCGGGGGGGAGGCCGCTCGGGCGGAGTGTAGTAGCTTGTATGCCGCCAGATTGCGGTCTTGCAGCATGTTGTTGATCACATACTGTGCCGTGCCCAACTGCTGTGGCTCGCATCCGATGCATTGCCAGGCATCTGCGGTAGGCCGGATAGGTGGATATACGAAAGGTAGGCGTAAGGCGGGGCAGACGCAACATACAGCCGGTGTGTGTATGTCTAGTGGTTGGTATACAGTGCGGCCTATATCACTACAACAAGCGAATGTTCGAAAGGACCACCAACTGACCCTACAGCTCATGTACACAACCGACTTGTTCTCGTGTCTATAGTTATGACCGTTAGCACTACAACAAGGCTAGGGTGTTAGGGTGTTTAAACCTCTAACACTACTAGTAATACAACAAGGCTAGGTTTTTAGAGTGTTTAACCCATTAAGGCTACTGCCTCAACCAAGACATATCAGTCCGCCATGTGCTTAAGCCGTTCTCTATTCGGTCCAGTACACGGTAGATATTTGCTGACTAAAACCCAACGCACGCCAGCCATATAACTGGACATACCGCCCTGTATCAAGGCTGACTGACCTAAAACCCTAAAACTCAAAACACATCAGACATATAACCAGACATATCATCCTGTACCAAGGCTTACTTACTAAAACCCTAAAACCTTAAGACTCGACGCACGCCAGACAGATAACTAGACTTACCGTCCTGTACCAAAATTTACTTACTAAAACCCTAAAACCTTTAAACTCAACGCACGCCAGACAGATAAATAGACATACCGTCCTGTACCAGGGCCTGGGTTTCGTGGTCCATATTTCGAGCAATACACAACTGACACACGCCCCTTGGGCACTTGCTGCACAAGAAGATGTCCCCGCAGTCACCGCACACCTAATGGGAAGGATACACACATGTGATAGTGAAGGTCAGTATATGTGTGACAGGCGTATGTGCACAGATACACGTAACAAATCTATTCAATATTCATCGTAAGTATTTGTGCGACAGGCATATGCGCACAGATGTACATATCATTATATATATATATATATATATATATATATATATATATACGAGAGTAGGACGTACGTTAC